CCTCCTGCACATACTCTCTCTCTCTCTCTCTCTCACACACACACACACACACACACACACACACACACACACACACACACGCAGACCTACACTCTCCCACGCCTGGGGCCTGTCAGCCACATTCTCCATTGGCTCCCTCCCTCCAACAGGGACAGGGGCAGGCAGGGAGTCCACATTCCCAGGTTTCCGCCCTGACCCTGAGCCCCCGCCTTCCCCACTCAAAGCACACATTCCTCCTGCTGCAGCCAGATAACCAGCCCCAGGGGGAGGCCTGAGGGACAGCGAGGCATTCTGGGGGCCAGGCTGCTGGCCCTACTCTGGGTTGCCTATTGCCTTGGTCTGGCCTGGTAGGATATCAGGAGCTTTCCCTGCAGGTAGCCCCCACACCTCTGGCCAGGCTAGACCCAAGGCTTTAGTCCTTATTCTGGGGACATTCTCAGGCCCAGAGCCTCACTTTTCAGAAAGGGCCCCCAGGGGTCTCCCAACTCCTCTTCTTAATGCAAAATCCCTTACAAAATCTAGTTAGGAACTAGACCAGGACCTGGGGAGCCCTCAAGACTCCTCTCTTCCGTACTCTTACAGTGGGTCTCTCAGTAGGTGAAAACCTGGGTTCCAGACACCAACAACCCCTAGGCAATTTCCCCCATCTGGGGATAGTGGTGGTCAATTCTCACAACTCTGCCTGGGGTGTAGCCACTTGGAGGTTCAGCAATTCTGGAGATATTTGCATATCCAGATGGCCAAGACTGGAATTTCAAAGAATTCCCCAAGAAGAGGCAGCTGGCTTCTGGGTAGTGGCCCTGGAGGCTCACAGCTGTTGGGATGGAAGGCTGGGGAGCCTGGAGCCCCCAAACACAAGAGAGATTAAAAAGGATAAAGAGGACAAGGGAAGACAAGAGCCCTATCACCAGCCCCCAGCTCTGTTCCTTCTGTCTCCAGGCCTCTATTCCTTGGGCTATGAAAAGAAAATGTCCCAGTTGCCCAGAGTAGGTGGGCAGGGAAATGAGACTGGGCTGGTTGGCCGGGGTGACAGGGACTGCCTGCCTCTGGGGAAAGGCAGCAGCAAGCACCAGGAAGAAAACTGCCAAAAAATATCAGATCTGCCAAAAAATATCAGATCTCCTTATTCATATGAAGTGATGGACACGCCTTTGCTTCCCTGCAACCTATAGCCAGGTGGGCAAAGGCCATGGCGTGTACCCTACTAACCTGTCCACAAGCCAGGGATATGGCTATTGTACCAATGGGAAGGATAGAGGGGTGCTCAATACTTCTGGCAGGCCTTGGGCCCTGCTCCCTGTGATAAGGCTCTCATGAGCCTGACTGAGCTAGGCACTGGCCCATCCAGTTCTGCATAAAGTGTGAACAAAGCCAAGCCCAGAGAGGCCTTCCCACCCCAACAAAAGCCCCTCTCAGGTTCTGTCCAAACAGATTTACTGACCACCCACCTCTCGGTTGTTACAGCCATGGGTCACCACTGCCCTCTGCTGGCCACTCAGGCACTAGCATCCACTCAGAGACCAGCTCACTCCCTACCCAAGCAAATGCACTTTAGACACCTCCTCCATCTGTGGGTACAGAAACTTAAACCCATCTGTCACCTACAGTTAGAGGGTGGCAGGGGGCAGGATAAGCAGGGACAGTGTGTCAGAGGAGAAATCACAAAGGAATCCTTCCCCCTACCCCTACCTCCACAAAATTTACACCCTAACCTTCAAAAGGAAGTGCCCTTTATATCCCACTTAGAGGTTGAACCCACACTTATGGAAAAAGTACCTGCCCCATAACCTGTTATAATGCGCCAGAACCTCTCTTCACCCCCCTTCTCTTAAGCCCTCTTGTTTCTTCTAAAAGAGAACCAGGATGAGATGGTCTGGTCCTCTTAGCATAGAAAAGCCCCATTTCTCTGGCCGGTCTGAGGAAGCCTTGGTCCCCTCTGTCATAGTGCAACAGGTGACTGGAAATCCTGGCTGCCCTCTGAAACAAGGCCAGGTCCCCGTAACTTACTCCAACATCCTACAAGCAGCCCACACCTTTCAAAGATGGCAGCAATGCTGACTGAGGACACTGCCCAGAAGGACTTAACCAGTATTGCTCCTTAATTAGCTGGGGGAAGCTCCAGATACTCCTGCAGTCAAGTAGGTAGCCTAGCTTTTGCTAACTACCGCAAGCGTGACACATCTTTCGAACCCATGAGATGGTGCTAATTTGGAAGCCCAAACTTCAGATTGTATTTGTGAGCTGTTTCTGGAAACCTCCAAGTGAGGGGGCCCAAGAAGGAGCTTTGGAGCTTCCAAAGTTAATCTCCCTTCCTATGGAAAACTTAAAAGCTGAGAAAGCACAATTTGGGGGAGTAGTTGATCGTAGGTAGTATGGTTAGGAAAACTAAACCCTCCCTAGTCACTCTTTCACTAGGGGCCCCACAATTTAGGTCAGGGGAATATCTTTTAAGCGTCAAGATTTCTAAGTACTTAGAAAGACATTCAAATAGGAGAACAAGTAGCTCAAAGCAAGGGGAGAGATGCCTGAGAAAACGGTAGCTATTTTCCCTAATATCCTTAGAAGCCCGAGAAGGAGCAGAGCATATTCATCAAGGCTGGCGCTACTCTTCCCTGGACAGCAGTAACTGGCAGCTTAGTCTGGGCACTTAGGAGCCCCAGCCCTGGAAAAGGCCATTCTACCAATAACAACTTACACAGGAGGATAAAAACAAATAAATTCCACTCAATTAAAAACTATAAAATGGCTGTCTTTGTGCTAAGATATTCATACAGTTCTACATGTGTTAAGAGGCAGATTATACTTGGTCTCTGATCAGATGCAACTCCACAAATAACTCAAAAGATGCAAAGTGACTACTTGTCACTAAAAACTGTCTACCTGATTCAACCAGCCCAGGAGCAGTCACTAAGAAAGGCCAAATGCTGGTTGGTGATCATGTTATATATAAAGCCACTGAAGCCCAAGGACTTAATGGCTTTAGACAGCCCAACCTTTGAGTTTTCCAGTCATATCAACTAAGGTAAAATATGGCAACAATGGAGGAATGTATTTGTTTCATGAATATTAAACATGACAAAGCAATAGCACAGCCAGTCCCAGGAACTAGCCCATCCCAGGAATTCGCCTAGAAACATTCAGAGGAGCCTGAACACCAACTATTTAGCAGCTGGGGCTTTTAAGGCAGGTTTTGTGGGGTAGAGAGAACTCAAAGCCACTTTCACCTAAGTACGTACACAACATAAGGAAAAATTAAATAGGAAAGGGCTCCAGAAGCACCTCAAAGGAAATTTATTTTTCTCTTCTTGGACATATATGAATGTATATTTGGGAAGTTTGCTACCTTCAGTTATTTATTTATTTTTTTTTAAGATTTATTCATGAGAGACACAGAGAGAGAAGCAGGCAGAGACAGAGGCAGAGGGAGAAGCAGGCTCCATGCAGGGAGCCCAATGTGGGACTCAATCTCAGGACTGGGGGATCACACCCTAAGCTGAAGGCAGATGCTCAACTGCTAAATCACCCAGGTGTCCCCTTTCAGTTAGTTATTTTCTATTAAAAATCTGCTTTCCCTTGTATAACCTCACACCCATCAAAATAGCCCATCACTTGAAATAAAGTGTCTCACAAAGAGAATTAAAAGGATATGGGTCCTTAATACTTGACAATTTTCTGTGGGGTAATAAAGATGCTTATTCCTGAGAAGGAAGGAAAGATATGGTCATGATTCAGAAGACCCAGCAACTAAAGTTATTCTGTTACAACCACTGGGTATTGGGGGTATCATATAGCCATCTGAGACAAAAGCCAGTTTCACCTTAATTGCAGACAAGGGACAGATTATAGGCATTCCAACTGAATTTGAAAATAATTCATTTTTCTACCTAGGGTTCAAAATAACCTGTTGAGGCAAAGAGGAATGACTCAAAAAGTGAAGTATTATAGACAATGGAAGTGGGAAAGGAATGCCTCTATTTCTAGGTTGGTGCAGAGAACATGGACCCTCACTCTGACCACACCATGTCCTTCTCTCTATAGACCTTCCTGTCATTCCCTAACCCAAGAACCCTCCTTCTGAGTCTCTGTGCTATCCAAAGTGTAGAAACCAGCAGGACAATGATACCTTTGACCACTGGCCAATAACAGAGCATGCAAGTATCTGAAATCATGTAACCGAAAGTGATGCTGCAACTCTAACTTGTTCAAGCACTCCATGATAAGAATTAAGAAGCAAAGGGAATTCATACACTTGATATTCCAATATTGATACATCTAGTAACCGCTGCCTCATCAAGGTCATCAATCAAGGTTACTGTAAATAAGCTTTCACATGTGATAAAGCCAGACATTCCTGTAAAAAGCAATGTGACCCCAGATGAGAACCACCCTGGGCTAACACACTTTTCTTCATGAGTGGGGAATGTGGCTTCCCTCACTGAGGCTTTGTTCTGGGCAAGGCTATACGCATGCAGACGGGACCAAATAAGCTCTCTATCCAAATAAGCAAAACCAAACTGCATTCAAGGGCCTAATGTTCATGACCATTCAAACACTTTCATTTGGCACCTACAAGCCAGTATGATGGCTTTTATTTAGCACTTATAAATACTTAAGAGCACTCCTGTGTAAGTATCTACATTATGACCTAGTCAATGGTAATGAGCTGGCTGCTCTCTAAGATGACAAAGAATGGGCTTTCAGGATCTGTGCAACTATGACCTATAGTCCCCAGTCTAGTTAATGGCAAGTCTAAAACTGATGAATTCCTACCTGCCCATGACACTGAGAATATAGGTCAAACAATTTTAGGTTAGAGCTCAATTCTAACTCCTTTCCCCACACCTGTTAACAGTCAAACCTTCTTTGCAAGGTCAAGAATGCCAGAAATGCCAGCAAGTAGCCAACAGGGAATCAGCAGTTTAAGAGGTTTCAGATTATTGCACACTTTAGTTCCGAGATGGAGGGATAATGACACTGAGAGATAAGACAAGTTAAACAAGTTTTAAAACCAAAAGCAGTGGACATTTATTCCTCAATTTTTGTGCAAGAGTGTAAAGATGCATTTGAAAGAACCTGATGGCTAGAGAGCATCAGCCATGGCCTTCAGGGTGGCCTGGTTTACAATTAGATTAGGAGAATGAGGGGGAAAAGGTAACTTGCCTAGTTCACACGAACGATGTTTCTGGCAAACACAGTTGTTTACAAGTTTCAAACTACAATTTACTAGAGTCGAGGGAAGACTTCAAAAAGCCACATACAGTACAATGTAAAATTGGATGAACATCCTTCAATGTCAGTGCAAAGTAATTATGTAGACTCTCCAATACAAGATTGTGCTGTTTCCCAGGTTCGGTCAATGGTGCTCTTTTACAATCACAATCACAGAAGCTTAACTTACCAAATAGCAATGCCTTTGTTTTATGTCCTATGTACCAAGGGAATGTCACAAGGTTTTGGTGAAATGCAGCTTAGTTTCATTAATAAAGCAGATTTCTTATTTAGTTTAACAGTCATGTTCCTGGAATACTACACACGTAAGTTTCATGGAACTGCTTTTCAGCTTATGCCCTTATCTTGTTCAGTAAAATTACTTTCAAGATATCCTTTTGACTATGTAAACTGGAATTGTTTCATGATTTTGAAATGCAACCAGGAAAAATGAAAATATTTTCATTAAAACATTAGGGGTGGGGAAAACCCACCACTAATCTCTGCTAAACAAAGTTCTAAAAATCAAAAAAGCCTATTCACACGAAATTATATGTAATGACTGTAGTAATCAGTTTATTACACAGATTAATCATTCTTGAACGTACAAGCTCCAGAGGAGCAATTGGGTCTTTAAATATACACAAGTATTTCCATCAAATGAATTTTCACCCTTACATCCAGATAGACCTAAGCAGTTAAAAACATAAGAAAAATAAGAGCTATTAGCTATATATTAACTGAGAAACCACATACAAACCAAAGAATGTGGAAGAGAGAAGGGGGCTGAAGGACAAAGGTTGAAGGGTGGGTAGATGCAAAAGATGTGGGACCAAAGCCCATCACACTTTATGTACTAATAGCTCCAATCCATTTTAAATGTTGACCAGTTAAACTTAGACCTTAAAATACAGGATGTGGGTAGAGTTTAATCTGGTTGGTCATAACTTTCACCTAAGACGTAGGTTCTTCGGAATAAAATGAATACAGAAACAGCTTCATGTTCTTCACCTTGCTTTTCATAACTGTTCTGAGTTAAAAAGAATTCCACTTAAAAACAATCTCCTACAGGTCAGTGGAGCTTTTCTTCCCCATCCAAGCATACAACATACCTACCACCCCTCACCTTGCCATTATCCAAATTTAAGTCAATAAGGAAAACTTTTAGTCTCACACCTAGGTTATGCTTGGAGAACTGGCTTGTCACACACACACTTCTCTGCTAGGAGGCAATGTTGGTACAGAAGTACAGTATTTCTAGTTTGTTGTTCCCAGTATGTACAACACGCAGCACTGCTGTATCAGGTAAACATGTGCACAGGGGAAGATGAGGCGTGGGCTCATAGAAAGCAGTCAAATGGAAATCAAAAGGACTTTCTCTTTCAGAGTTCCCCTATCTTTATTTGTAGAGGTTATCCAATAATTTCTTTAATTACATCGCATACTTCTGAGTCCATTCCCGAGCTATTCTGTTGTACCTGTACACACAAAGAGAAGCTTGGCTTAACACAGGTGAGGAGTCAGTCAGACAGACAGCAACAGATTTCATTCATTATCCAATCTAGTAACTTGAGGGAAATAACTAGTACTATTCTAGCAAATCCTTTTTGTTTATTCATTCATTTACTTATTTGAGAGAGAGAGAGAACATTCTCAGGGGAAGGAGCAGAGGGAGAGGGACAAGCAGACTTTGCATTGAGGGTGGAGTCTGAAGCAGGGCTTGATCACACAACCCTGAAACCATGACCCGAGCCAAAATCAAGAGTGAGACGCTTAACTACTGGGCCACCCAGGCACTCCTCTTTCTAAATTTCTAATGACATGCTCGCTTCAGTAGCACATATTCTAAACTTCTAAAGAGCATTTATTCAGTGATGGTGGGAAAAGGCTGTAAAACCTGAAACAATGTCCCATAAATACTACCTAGTGGAGGATTCGGATGAAATCTTAGCATTTATTCTATATTTGATTGACCTATTTCTAAGAAAGATCTTCAGTCACTGATTCATCTCTTTGGAGTTCTTAAAACTATATAATTCTACATTATGTGGTTCTTGATTAAAATGATATAATACTTTCCTTTGTATCAATAAAATTAGTCCTGGCAGAACTTAACAATTTAGTTGCTTAATGAATGGGTTTATTGTTTCAGAATAACATTCTAGTAATAAAATAAGCAGAGCAAAAGATTTTATAATTCTCTGTTTAAAAAGGGATGCAGAGGGATGCCTGGGTGGCTCAGAGGTTGAGAATCTGCCTTTGGCTCAGGGTGTGTTCCCGGAGTTCTGGGACTGAGTCCCACATTGGGCTCCCTGCAGGGAGTCTGCTTCTCCCTCTGCTTATGTCTCTGCCTCTCTCTCTGTGTGTCTCTAGTGAATAAATAAATAAAATCTTAAAAAAAAAAAAACCTTAAAAAAAATAAAATAAAAATAAGGGATGCCGAAAATTTTAGTGAACGTTACCACTATAATGACTGGGAAATGCCTTTAGGGAGGCATTCATGCTCACCTAGATATTGGACAAAATGGTTCTCTCATCAAAAAATTTACTAGTGTAGGGCATCCGGCTGACTCAGTTGGCAGAGCAGGTGACTCTTGATATCAGGGTTGTGAGTTCAAGCCCTATGTTGGGTGTAGAAATTACTTACAAAAATAAGAACTTAAAAAAGTAAAAATAAGGGATCCCTGGGTGGCGCAGCGGTTTGGCGCCTGCCTTTGGCCCAGGGGGCGATCCTGGAGACCCGGGATCGAATCCCACGTCGGGCTCCCGGTGCATGGAGCCTGCTTCTCCCTCTGCCTGTGTCTCTGCCTCTCTCTCTCTGTATGACTATCGTAAATAAAAAAAATAAAAAAATAAAAAAAAGTAAAAATAATAAAAAATAAAAATATACTATCTATAAGCCTCTCCAACAGAATTCAAATAATTCTTAGTCGTTTATATTTTAACTTTAGAAAATTATCTACTTTCTCCCACCTATTTCCTCCTATAGTTTTACTGAATAAAACACAAAATAAAAAAATCAGAACACTTTCAGTTATTTTTTTTTTTTGATATCCTGACCACTCTTCAATAATTCATAGTATAGGGACACCTGAATGGCTCAGCAGTTGAGCTCTGCTTTCGGCTCGGGGTGTGATCCTGGGGTTCAGGGATCAAGTCCCACATCAGGCTCCCTGAGGGGAGGCTGCTTCTCCGTCTGCCTATGTCTGCCTATCTCTCTCTGTGTCTCTCATGGATAAATAAATTCTTTAAAAAAAATAATTCATAGTACAACTCTAAAGTATATAGATTCTACATTAAGATTTATTTTTAAAGGAAATTTGGGGCTTTCATATCTTGTTGTATTTACTCCCTTTCTTTTTAGATTATGCCAAATGATAGAAAATCAATTCCCTTTTCTCATTAATTTACAAATACCTACCAAAGACGGATGGACTCTTGATGCAAAATGCTTTAATAATGTCAAATGCCAAGCTGAAGACAACTTAGAAAATACACTATAGAGAAGTTTTTCTCAACAGTGGGAGTCATTTGAAACAATTAGAAATAAGATCAGGGGATCTCTGGGTTGCTCAGTGGTTTAGCACCTGCCTTCGGCCCAGGGTATGATTCTGGAGTCCCGGGATCAAGTCCCGCATCGGGCTCCCTGCACGGAGCCTGCTTCTCCCTCTGCCTGTGTCTCTGCGTCTCTCTCTCTCTCTCTCTCTGTGTCTCTCATGAATGAATAAATAAAATCTTAAAAAAAAAAAAAAGATCAGCATCCTCAACTTATAATGATACTCGATGTAAACACTCTTCTTTCTTTCTGTCCCCAGCTGAGCGTGTTACAACTTCATTTTAAATATCTGACCCACACTCACCCCACCCCTGAGTTAAAACTTGAGACACAAAAACATCTCCGTATCACCACAGGTACCTTTCTGGCCATACTTACTTTTCTCTATCTGTTTTGTAGATCCGAGCAATCTCAGGCACTAAAGGATCATCTGGATTGGGATCACACAACAGAGAACAGATGGACAAGAGTACTGTAATGGGAAAAAAAAAAAAAGGTATAAATTAGTAAAGGTTATAAGCAAAGGGTTGAAAGAAACATGAGATGCCAATACACGGGAAAATTCTAAGAATTTATTCATATTGTAGTGCCTAGTAGGTTTATGAGTGCTACCTAAATTTATAATTAGGATAAACAAAAATTCATTTAAAATTTCTCTTGAACCCCTAAGAACACTCACCCAGGCTGATGAAGTGACTTGCCCAATGTTCCCTGGTTAGTGAGTAATTAGAGTGGAATTAAGAATTCAGGTCTTTTAAATCCTAGACTAACATTTTTTTCATAGACCATAAAATTCAGTTTTTAGAAACCCATGTTTAGAGATAAATGGTTTTCAAATTCCCAAACACAACCACACTACTGAATGCTCCTAAAAATGACAACCATGAAATCCAACAATGTTTTCTTAATGACAGGTATTACATTCAGATACAATATATTTATTTCATTTTTAGTTGAAAACAATTCAGTCTAAGAATATAAAGGCCAGTATTTGCCCTCATTTGAGGCTGGCCACACTTATTATGCAGGATACAACAAACCAAGGTCTCAAATTCTTTTCTGTGACACTTTAGAATCTCAACTAAGCCATTTCCTCAGGGACAACCTGGAACACAGCAGACAAATCTCAATAGTATAATTGCCTCTGTTCACATTTGTTATAAACTTATATATTCCTTATTGAATGCAAAGAGAAGGCCAAGGCCACTCATCATTACATTAAATCCGGGGCCTCTGACATACTGAAATAAATTCCAATTCTTCTATTACGATGTAACAGAACTTAGCTATCTTATTTCTAATATTCTGCAGCAGGAGGCAATGAGTCTGAGCCCACTTTACCTCCAAAACATCAAGTTCACCAGGAAAAGAATTTATTCATTTTCCTATCAAACCTATTCTATAGAGATCAAGGGCTTGCTTCTGTGGGTGAAGTAAAAGTTCATATGCCCTTTATCATTCAGTTTGTTAACAAAAAAGCTATTTTCCTTGCCTTAAGAGTATATGGAAAATAAAAAACACCAGGAAAGATGCTTTCTGACTCTTCATTCCTGTTGCCCACAATTCTGGCAGATGGCATTCCCAAAACATCTTCTCTTCCCATTGTCAGGTGTATCACCTGATGCCCTCTTCAAGCACAGAACATTCTAACAGCAATAAGGAAAGATTTCATGTATTTCCTGGAAATGACAACAGGAAGTTACAGATTTTTGAATGTTCATGAAATTATTGACTATAGAAAGAAACTTGTCCAGTCCATCAAATTGGCAAGAGTTCAACTGAATCTTCACCTAAAATTAGACATGCTACCAAATTAGCAAATTTGGTACAAATTTGCATTACAAATTCTCTTACTTACTATTCTAATTATTCCAATAAGAAAACCTTAAATTTTTTTTTTCTTAAAGAAATAACTATTCTTTCTTTCCAGGAAAGAAAGGTGGGGTGGTATCTGGACCTGGTAAAAAGATTTTATTGTGCTACTGGGGGAATTTAATTCTTAAAAAACTTATTTTGGCTTATTAATGTACTATACCTTCCTTCTATACAAAGAGAATTACTCCTATTTCTATAACCTAGAGAGATTCTTCACTGAAGTGATTAAATTTTTACCTTCATATACATTTTTCATCACTATACACTCATTTTCATTAGTGTCATAACCCACTGTCACTTCTAATTCTAAAAACATGTAATCAAGTGGCTTTATGGCACACTTAATTGCTTCCTTTAAGCTTTCTGTATATTTAGATCCCTAACATAAACATTCAAAGTGGAAAGAATTTCAGGTCAAAGCTACTGCCCTCGAAAAAGGAATAATTATTATCACATATAGGATTCAGGCCTTTCACAGAACTGCTTGCCCACACATTCAATTTATAAAAGGGAATCATTAAAACATTAAACTTAGATACACTGATATAATCAAATTCAACAAAATGGAACTGCAATTATTTTTAAGGTAGAGGGTGCATAAGTCAAACTAATAGCCCTTATGATTTAGAGTAACTAAAAAATCAACACTAGGCACAGAAAAGGGGGAAGGAAAAAAAAAGTTATGGTAACAATTTTAGCTACTAGACCTTCTCACTCCTCAACGCACATACACGCTATTCCTGTAATTTCTAATTTTCAAAAACAATACTGTCACAAATATATTTCAGCATAAACCTTTTTTTCAGCATTTGAGGCTGTCTTTTTAGTATAAACAAATGAAACTAGGATTACTGGGTCAAAGGAAAGTAATGATTAAATCTCTTATCTTTTTTTTTTCAAACATTTTATTTATTTATTCATAGAGACACAGAGAGAGAAGCAGAGACACAGGCAGAGGGAGAAGCAGGCTCCATGCAGGGAGCCCGACGTGGGACTCGATCCTGGGTCTTCCGGATCACGCCCCGGGGTTGGAGGCGGTGCTAAACCCCTGAGTCAACAGGGCTGCCCAACCTCATCTTTTAATACATACTGACAGACTGGGCTATACAGATCTATACTTTATCTGTAATACATAAGTACCCATTTCAATATACTTCATTCACCAGCATTTGGCTTTCTTTTTATTTCTCTTTTTTTTTAAGATTTTATTTATTTATTCATAGAGACACACAGAGAGAAGCAGAGACACAGGCAGAGGGAGAAGCAGGCTCCAAGCAGGGAGCCTGACGTGGGACTCGATCCAGGGTCTCCAGGATCACGCCCTGGGCTGCAGGCTGCACTAAACTGCTGCGCCACTGGGGCTGCCCTGGCTTTCTTTTTCTAAGGTTTTTGTTAAATTAAAAAGGTGAAAGAAGGGAACTTAATTTTCATTTCCTTCATTATTTTGCTCCTTTCTGTCTATTCATCTGTTGGGATCTTTTCTCTTACTGATTTTTATATATGTTCTTCCTATTTCAAACATATTAGCCCGTTATCTCATTTGCAGCCTCTTTCTTGTTCTTTATTTGTATTTGTACAGCCTTTTTTTCATTATTATATTTTTACTTGGACAGCTCTTAATCCACTTGTGATTTCATTTGGATATTATGTTGAGGGGCAGTACAATTTCAAATCAACATATTGTTTGTTGGAGTGTCTGGCTGGCTCAGTGCCTCTGCCCCCTGCTTATACGCTCTCTCCCTCTAGTAAATGAATAAAAAAAATCTTAAAAAAAAAAAAAGAAAAGAAAATGTTAGCTACTTAGTACATGGATAAAAAAAAAAAATCCCCAACCGACTCATGTAATTAGGCTTTATTTAGAATTACTGGAATTTCATTGCATAATTAGTAACTAATTTTTATTTTTTAAAAAGATTTTATGTATTTATTCATGAGAGACACAGAGGGAGAGAGAGGGGCAGACACACAAGTAGAGGGAGAAGCAGGCCCCATGCAGGAGCCTGACGTGGGACTTGATCCTGGGTCTCCAGGATCACGCCCTGGGCTGAAGGCGGCGCTAAACCGCTGAGCCACCAGGGCTGCCCCCAGTAACTAATTTTTAATACACATTTTCAAACACACACAGGACTATATACTGAAAAGATTAAGATCATCAAATAGAATTTTTATTAAACTGGTCATCTTAGAGAATGAATCTGTTTCTGATAGAAACCTCAAGACAAGAGCTGGTAAAACCTTAAAGAGTTTGAATATGAATTCACCTATAGTTTGTTCTTCAAGGACCTAAACTAAAGTCTGTATTTATACCACAAGCATTCCTTCAAAAGAACTGCTATGTCCTCTTCTGGAACAGTATTTATCCTTTCCATTCCCAGATCTCAAGGTTGGAAGAGACATTAATTTCCTCTACTTTAACTTTGCTCTAGAAGAAATTCATACCAAGTGGCCATTTCCAACTTACGCTTGAACAGCATAACGGACAGAGCTGTCAAGGCATCAAAGAACACCTATGCCTGAAAATCCAATTTCCTCCAATGGTCTCAAGGTGTACTAAAAAATAACGGGAACTTACTACCTCTTCTTGAAAGGAATATGAATAATCATTTCAAAAAATAAGAAATAGACAACAAAACAAAAAAACAAAAACCAGGGACACCTGGGTGGCTCAGTTGGTTGATTATCAGACTGTTGATTTTGCCTCAGGTCATGATCTCAGGGTTGTGAGATGGAGCCCTACATGTTGGGCTCCATGCTCAGTGCAGAATCTGCTTGAGATTCCCTCTCTCCCCCCTCTGCTTTTCCCCTTGCTTGCATGTGCATGCTCCCTCTCTCAAATATATACATCTTTAAAAATAAACAAGTAAAAAATATAAGACAAAAACACTGCTGCTTTATCTTAATATCAGATACCCATTCTATTACCTTTTGAAATAGTTAGTGCTGGAGACCACTGTGACCGGAGAATATCAAGACAAATGCTGCCATTACTGTTAATATTTGGATGATAAATTCTTGTTGTAAACGCAACCTATAGGGAATAGGAAAACTTTTTGTAAACTGATTTATTAATGTCATAGAAAGCACATAAAAACAAATGCCATATCTCAATTACCTTAGGTGGCTTGAAGGGGTAATCTGTTGGGAAATGAATTGTCAAGAAAAATACTCCACCCTGATAGGGACTGTCATTCTGTTGATAACAAGAAAAGTGGGATTAAAATGAGTGAATTACATAAACACTTACTCTGAAATCAATCTGAATACTTACTGGCCCCATTATTGTAGCCTGCCAATGGAACACTGAAAAAGAAGAAAAAAATAACCATGAAGCAATATTTCCATTGTATCTACAACATAATGACATATCAATCCCTAACCCCAGTTCATTTATAACTGGGTATGGCAGTATGGTAAGTCCTGGGCAGGATGAGGAATCTAAATCAAGTCTGAGACTGAAGAAAGAAAAGAAAATGACTAGTATGGTCTTGAACACTGATAAGGTACTGTGAGAAAGTATTTGGACTAAAATATTTTGAAAATTCCTATCAGGGAGACAAAATTCTTGACAAGGGCCAAGTTTTCACTTTTAAACAGGCATTTCTTACCTCAAAAGGTAAAAAAGAACAAAAGATTCAACTCTTTAACTTGTATCATTTCCCCAACACATTAACATAGAATATATTCCTTTTATAATACTGGTATAGAGCAGGGCTATAAAGTCAAAGTAGATAATATCCCAATTAGGAAAGACTTGTTTTTACAGCAAGAAAAAATTTCTGAGAGCATTCATGTATAAGTCTTTAGAATTACTAGTCCCTCACTAACAGATAAAAGATCAAGGTCTCTTTTTTAAATGATCTAGAGTTGGGCACCTGGGTGGCTCAGTTGTTGAGCATCTGCCTTTGGCCCAGGGCATGATCCCGGGATCCTGGGATCCAGTCCCACATCAGGCTCCCTGCAGGGAGCCTGTTTCTCCCTCTGCCTATGTCTCTGCCCCTCTCTCTGTGTCTCTCATGAATGAATGAATGAATGAATGAATGAATTAAAAAAAAGATCTAGAATCTACAACACCAACAAGGCAGAGAAAGACAAACTAAACTAAAAACACATTAAGATGGAATTTAATTAACAAAAGCATGTGAAGACCTGCCATTAAAATCTTAATGGAGGATTTCTGCTACACTGGTTAAATATAATACCTACTGGAATCACTGACTTAGGTCTCCCTCTGGAACTCTTCTACACTCCTAGATGTCCTTGTGGAAGTATAAAAAAGAAGGGAAGAAGGTAGTGGGAGAATATCTAATCCTGACTCAAATTATAATGGTTTGGTTAGCAGTTGAAGAGCAGTTGAAGAGTCATTCAAAAAAACAAAAAATCACTACAGGTTCTAAGTAGAAAGAACTCTCCAGGGTTCCTGGGTGGCTCAGTGGTTGAGCATCTGCCTTTGGCACAGGAGGTGATCCCGGGGTCCTGAGACTGAATCCCACATCGGGCTCCCTGCAGGGAGCCTGCTTCTCCCTCTGCCTCTGCCTCTGCCTCTCTCTGTGTCTCTCACAAATAAGTAAATAAAATCTAGAAAGAAGAAAAGAGAAAGAAAGAAAGAAAGAAAGAAAGAAAGAAAGAAAGAAAGAAAGAAAGAAAGAAAGAAGAAAAAGAGAGAGAGAGAAAGAAAGAAAAAAAAGAAAAGAAAAAGAAAGAAAGAAGAAAGAAAGAAAGAAAGAAAGAAAGAAAGAAAGAAAGAAAGAAGAAAGAAAGAAAGAAAGAAAGAAAGAAAGAAAGAAAGAACTCTCTAGAAATAGTGGGCAAAATATTTGGCCATAAGCAAAAAATATTGTTGTATTTTATATGAACATCTATATTTCAAAAACCTTTCATTTAAGAATCAATCTTAGGAGTGCCTGGGTGGCTCAGCTGGTTAAGCTTCCACCTAAGCTCAGGTCATGATCTCAGGGGCCTGGGATTGAGCCTGCAGTGGGATCCCTGCTCAGTGGAGAGTCTGTTTCTGCCTCTCCTCCTGCTTGTGCTCTCTCAACTGTCTCCTTCTTAAATAAATAAATCTTAAAAAAAAAAAAAAATCAATCTTAGAAGCTGTTAAAAATAAAAACTTGTCGTAATGAATGAAAAAGTACTGATAGTTCCAAAACCAACAAAACAAACAAAAACTCCCATTACCACCCTCGTTTGACACTGAAAGCCGAATTACAGAAACTAAAAGCTACAACCTTTTTTATGAGAGTTTAAATGTAAAGTTCACAGCTCAATGATCACTCTTTAGGATACTCAAAGATGAAGCGTTAAGGCTAAAAGAGAACAAGAATATTTGTTATAGTTTGAGGGATCCCTGGGTGGCGCAGCGGTTTGGCGCCTGCCTTTGGCCCAGGGCGCAATCCTGGAGACCCAGGATCGAATCCCACATCGGGCATGCATCGGGCATCCCGGTGCATGGAGCCTGCTTCTCCCTCTGCCTGTGTCTCTGCCTCTCTCTCTCTCTCTCTATGACTATCATAAAAAAAAAATAAATAAATAATAATATTTGTTATAGTTTGAGAATGAATCTCAAGAGACCTACATATGAATTCAAGTTCAGAACTCCAGAGAGTCCAATTCACCAAGATTTCAAAACAAAAGAAAATGAAGCAGGTTATATGACCAATAAATCTTTGGCTTACATTTCCTTCCAGGATCTATATACATCTTCCTGCTTACCAGATCCTTGCAGAAAAATGGGAAAAAATTTAATGGCACATTAAAATCTGGATATTAAAAAATAAAGCACTGTATTATTAAGTTCATTATCAAATATATATTATCTTTTTTATTTCTTAATTTAAAAGATGCTTTTAAAAATTATTTTATTTATTTATTTATTCATGAGAGAGAGAGAGAGGCAGAGATACAGGCAGAGGGAGAAGCAGGCTCCATGCAGGGAGCCCGACGTGAGACTCGATCCCAGGTCTCCAGGATTACACCCTGGGCTGAAGGCAGGTGCTAAACCACTGAGCCATCCAGGCTGCCCTAAAAGATTTTATTTATCTATTCATGGGAGACATGGAGAGAGAGGCAGACATAAGCAGAGGGAGAAGCAGGCTCCCTGCGGGAAGCCTGATGTGGGACTTGATCCCAGGACCCCAGGATCACAACCCGAGCCAAAGGCAGATGCTCAACCACTGAGTCACGTAGGTGCCCTCTTCTTCTTTTTATTAATCTCTATACCCATTGTGCGGCTTGAACTCTCAACCCCGAGATCAAGACTTGCATACTGGGGATGCCTGGGTGGCTCAGTGGTTGAGCATCTGTCTTCGGCTCAGGTTTTAAAAATATTAACTCTCCTTTATCTCCTAGTCTTCCTATTTAAGTATCTTGACTCACCTACTACTAAACTTTCAACAGTACCTACCTTCTAAGGGAATAAGGAAAATCTCCTTAGGAACAGTTAACTTCCTTACACTTGATCATCTAGATAGTCTTTGCTGATACTATACTTAAAACTTTAGGGAGTGTTTAAGAACAGTTGAGATAAATTACTGTCAAAAAGTCTTGGTCAAGGCTTCCTGATGGATAATATAAAGTATAAACCAGAGGGTAATTGGGTAGCTAAATATTATATATTTAAAATAATATAGGGGTACTTGGCTGGCTCAGTTGGTAGAGTATACAAGTCTTTTTTTTTTCTAAAAAACAGCTATAGAGAGATAATCCATATACTATATAAGTCACAATGAAAACGTACAATTCAGTGATGTTTAGGACAGAGTTGAGCAACCATCACCACAATTTTAGAAATTTTCATCACCCCCCAAAGAAACCCCGTATCCATATGCAGTTACTCCACATTGCACCCAGATCTCTAGTTCTATGTAACCATTATCTACCTCTGTCTCTATGGATTTATTCTGGATATTTCATATAAATGGAACCATACAATATGTGGCCTTTTATATCTGGCTTCTCTTACTTGGTATCTTTTTTTTTCTTTTTAAAAGATTTTATTTATTTATTCTTGAGAGATAGAGAGAGAGAGGCAGAGATATAGGTAGAGGGAAAAGCAGAATCCTTGCAGGGAACCCAAAGTAGGACTCCATCCCTGGACCCGGGATCACGCCCTGAGCTGAACATAGACCCTCAACCACTGAACCATCTACGCGGCCCACTTAGCATCTTTTTAAGGCTCATCTATGCTGTGGTATACATCAGTACTCACCTCCTTTTTATTGACATATAATATTCCATTGTATGGCACATACATTCAATTTATCCCTTCATTAGATGGTGGGCATTTGGATTGTTTTCACATCTTGGCTATTACAGTTGCTGTTTCTATGAACATTAATGCAGAAGTTTTTACATGGACATATTTTCATTTTTCTTGGATATATACCTACAAGTGAGCTCACTGGGTCATATGATAACTCAAAGTTTAACTTTTTGAGAAACTACTAATTTTCTGAATTGGTTGTACTATTTTACATTACTGTCAGCAATGTACAAGATTCCAATTTCTCCACAACCTCATCAACACTTATTTGATTTTTTATTACAGTCATCCTAGAAGGCATAAAGTGGTATCTCATTATGGATATGATCTACATTTTCTTGATGACTAATGATACCAAGCATCTTCTCCATGTGTTTACTGGCCAACTGTACATCTTCTTTAGCAGATCCTTTATTAAAAACAAAAATGGGTTATTTATCTTTATATTGTTGAATTATAGTTTTTAAAATGTTTTGAATAAATTTCCTTATCCAAGAGCTGACCTCCACAATTTTCTCCTTTTGTTGTCTCCTCACTTTCTTGATGATCTCATTTACAGCACCTAAATACCTAAATCAAACTTCATTAAAATGTAAAACCAATTTTTTTTTTTTGTATTGCTTATGCTTTGGGGGGAGTTTTACTTAACTCTCAAGGATAACAACTTTTCTGAGAAAGGAATGTGATAATACCAACTATGTGAAGCAAAGGCAAATTACTTCAGTACACGGAAGAGAACTTCAGAAATGGTCTATTCCCCAAACTTCAACCACTTTTTTTTTTTTTTTTAACTTCAACCACTTTTAATGAAAGATCAGCCACTCTCAACTTCGAGGAATTTAACTAAAATAAAACCACTTTTGGGATCCCTGGGTGGTGCAGTGGTTTAGCGCCTGCCTTTGGGCCCAGGGCACGATCCTGGAGACCCGGATCGAATCCTACGTCAGGCTACCGGTGCATGGAGCCTGCTTCTCCCTCTGCCTATGTCTCTGCCTCTCTCTCTCATAAATAAATAAAAATTAAAAAAATAATAATTTGTTAAAATAAAACCACTTTTTCAATTAAAAGACTGCAATGATGCAGGTGGACTGTATGATACCATAAATGACAAAACTAAAATCAGAAAACTTGACAGTGAGGGGCACCTGGGGCTCAGTTAAGCATCTGCCTTCCATTCAGGTCATGATCTCAGGATCCTGAGATTGAGCCCCAAGTTGGGGAAGGGGGGGTCCTCTGCTCAGTGGGGAGTCTGCTTCTCCTTCTTCTCTGCCTGTACCGTTCCCGCTTATGCATTCATTCTCTAATGAATAAATAACATCTTAAAAAAAAAAAAAGGCTTGAGCATCAGCCAACTTTGGAAACCACCACGAGTCCCTCACTAGATTCTTCTCTAAAATAGTTTACAATTTCTACTCTACTCGCCTAAAAGAACTATTGTGAGGCTTAAATGAGACAATGTGCATTTAATTGGCCTATCCTGTTTGATATCAAATACTATAGCTACTCATACTGGACAAATCTGGATAATGGCACTTTTCATCACATGTACTTAGTTTCATAATTTATACCATCTGTTTTATATGTAAAGGAATCCCTGCAAAAGGACCTTGCTTTGATTCTTTTTAAAAATATTTTTTATTTAGGGGATCAGTGGTTTGGCGCCTGCCTTGGCCCAGGGCGCGATCCTGGAGACCCGGGATCGAGTCCCACGTCGGGCTCCCAGTGCATGGAGCCTGCTTCTCCCTCTGCCTGTGTCTCTGCCTCTCTCTCTGTGTGACTATCATAAATTTAAAAAAAAAAAAATTTAAATTCAATTTAGTGGGATGCCTGGGTGACTCACTGGTTGGGCGTCTGTCTTCCACTCAGGGCATGATCCTGGAGTTCCGGGATCAAGTCACACACATCCGGCTCCCTGCATGAAGCCTGCTTCTCCCTCTGTCTATGTCTTTGCCTCTCTCTGTCTCTCATGAATAAATAAATAAATAAATAAATTTGATTTAGTTAAATACAGTGTGTTGTTAGTCAGGGGTAGAATTTACGGATTATTCATCAGTTGCATATAACACTCAGTGCTCATTACATCAAGTGCCCTCCTTAATGCCCATCATCCAATTACTACCCCTTCCCACCAACAACTCTGTATGTTTCCTATAGAGTTAAGAGTCTCTTATGGTTAGCCTCCCTGTTTTAATCTTATTTTTCCTTCTTTTTCCCCTTGCTTTATTCTTAAGTTTGGCAAACCAAAACCAACATTCTTAAGCACAATCAGGAAAAAATGTTAAACACAAGTATAACCTCTTATTTATTGTCTTAACGTATATACTTTTCTTACAAAATTGTTTCCAAGCATGTTTTTTTCCTATTTGCTAATTATTACACATTTTTGTGTGAATTAGTTTTGTGTCATAAAGCACAGTCTAGTTCAAAAAATCCTTCTTTTATTTATTTTTAAAAAAGACTTTATTTATTTATTCATGAGACATACACACAGAGAGAGAGAGACAGAGACACAGGCAGAGGGAGAAGCAGGCTCCATGCAGGGAGCCTGATGTGGGACTCGATCCCGGGTCTCCAGGATCAGGCCCTGGGCTGATGGCGGCGCTAAACCGCTGAGCCACCCAGGCTGCCCCAAAAATCCTTCTTTTAAAAGAAGCTAGAAGATGGTATAAGGAGGAAAAACTGTTGAGACAAAGTGAAACAAAAACACATTATTATCCAACATGTGTGATAAGGCCTAGTAAATTATTTTATAGAGGATTAAGCAGATAAATTGGACATTAGAAATAAACTTACCTAAAAAATAAGAGAGAGAGAAGAAATAAACTACCTGTCTTCACAAACATAAACTAATACTAAATAAACTAATAATAAATATAAACCACTGGAAGGACACACACACACAAAAATCTCTCCCTATTATCCCCTATCATACTGAGTATTATTTTACTTAAAAGACAGTAGCTACTTGTAAGTAAAACCTCAAATATTTTACCCCAGTAAAATACCCAGAAGGGTTGAAGGATACTTAGGAAGGGGCTGGAAAAACTACACAGACAATATGTGGTAGAAAAGGTTCAAAGGTTCTAAATGAATACTATAAATGGGATACATACAGAACTGTATCTTTTATGGAAAAGTAAGGGTAAACACTGCATTTTCCCTACAGCATAATTGTCTTTTCATGCAAAAAATAATCTTAAGAGAGAAATGTTCATCAGTCCTAGAGTTTCCCAGACGCAGATGGTTATGCAGTTTTACTCCATCATTCCTTTTAAATACTTACTATCATCTCCAACAGGACCTGCTGAACACTGAGCTGGGGGGTCCCGTGCCAGGTCATTCAATTCCTTAAGAAAACAGAAATAAAGGAAATATATTCAACATAAATGTAACTTTTACCAATTAATAAAATTTTCACTCATACCAATATTGTCTAACCCATTAGTAAAGCTTTTTAAGGAACACTGTTTTAAGGAACACTGTTTCAAAGTCAGAGAGGGAGAGATTTCTTCAAGTAAAACTTAAAAAAAAAAAAAAAAAGGAAAGAAAAATTTAATTAAAAAAAAAAATGTATTCCTGAACTGAAACCAAGAATCAGATGCTTAAATGACTGAGCCACCCAGGTGACCCAATATTTTGGATTCTTTAATGCAAATGTATGTTTAAAAAGTGGATCATTTTTGCTTTGTTTAGAGTTTAGTAGATAACTATAAGGAAAGTAAACATGTATTATATACTAAAGAGCTACAAAAATGGTTTTAAAGTAAAAAATTTATTAGTTTTCATATTAGTTTTCAAAAAAGTTGACTTTCAGGGGATCCCTGGGTGGCTCAGAGGTTTAGCGCCTGCCTTCGGCCCAGGGCGCGATCCTGGAGTCCTGGGATCAAGTCCCACGTCGGGCTCCCTGCATGGAGCCTGCTTCTCCCTCCTCCTGTGTCTCTGCCTCTCTCTCTCTCTCTCTCCCCCTATGTCTATCATAAATCAATCAATCAATCAATCAATCAATCTTTAAAAAAAGAAGTTGACCTTCAAGGCCAATTTTTATTTTTTTAATTTTTTAAAAAGATTTTATTTATTTATTCATCACACACACACACACACACACACACACACACACACACAAGAGGTAGAGACACAGGCAGAAGGAGAAGCAGGCTCCACACAGGGAACCTGACACGGGACTCGATCCTGGGTCTCCAGGGTCACACCCCGGGCTGAAGGCAGCGCTAAACCACTCAGCCACCCCGGGGCTGCCCAAAGGCCAATTTTTATACCATTAAACTATTAGGTTAGTTGTGGAAGTCATCAATATTTCAAATATATGAGACCATCTGACAATATTTTGATATGTTTTCAGGTGATATGGACTATCAGGGTTCCAAAGGTAGTTGAAAAAAATTAAAAAAGGATAGATTGAAAAGGCTGGGGGGATCCCTGGGTGGCTCAGTGGCTTAGCGCCTGCCTTTGGCCTGGGGCGTGATCCTGGAGTCCAGCGCTGGGCTCCTTGCATGGAGCCTGCTTCTCCCTCTGCCTGTGTCTCTGCCTCTCTCTGTCTCTCATAAATAAATAAATAAAATCTTAAAAATAAAAAAAGAAAGAAAGAAAAGGAAAGAATCCTACTAAAATTAAAAAAAAAAAAAAGGCTGGATATATTAAAAAGGCTGAAGTAGGGACACCTGGGTGGTTCAGTAGTTAAGCATCTGCCTTTGGCTCAGGCGTGATCCTAGAGTTCCAGGATCGAATCCTACATCGGGCTCCCTGCATGGAGCCTGTGTCTCTTCCCCTGCCTATGTCTCTGCCTCTCTGTGTCTCTCATGAATAAATAAAATCTTAAAAATAAAAAATAAAAAGGCTGAGGTAATAAAGTCCACCATAAAATTTTGTAATCAGAGACAGATCTACCTGTAGTAATGCTCTACAACCAGATGCCAGCTTCTTAGTCACTTTAACATTAAGAGCCCACAAACTTGAGATTTGTTATTGGGTGGGAATTCCTGAAGAAACCACAAGGCAGCAAATCATATCCTATTCCTTTTCCTCTTGGCTTGGTATTGGAGATTTAAAACAAGGGTAGTTTTAGAGGGATCCCTGGGTGGTTCAGCAGTTTAGTGCCTGCCTTCCACCCAGGGCGTGATCCTGGAGACCCGGGATCAAGTCCCATATTGGGTTCCCTACATGGAGCCTGCTTCTCCCTCTGCTTGTGTCTCTGCCCCTCTCTCTCTCTCTCTCTCTCCCATGAATAAATAAATAAATAAAATATTTGGGGGGAAAAAAGGGCAGTTTCAGATTATGTTTTTAATTAAAAAAGTTTTTTTTAAGTAATCTCCACATCCAATGTGGGGCTCAATCTCATGAGCCTGAGATCAAGAGTAGTGTACTCTAACAACTAGCCAGCCAGGTACCTCAGATTCTATCTTTAAATAGCAGTAAAATCTGGTATTTTAAAAGTACAATAAAAAGTATTCACAGCCCATGGGGTGCCTAGGTGGCTCAGTGAGTTAAGCATCTGACACTCAATTTTGGCTCAGGTCACGATCTCAGAGCTGTAACATCGAGCTCCTGCATTGGGCTCTGTGCTGGGCATGGAGCCTGCTTAAGATTCTCCCTCTGCAAAAAAAAAAAAAAAAAAGATTCTCCCTCTGCTTCTCCCTGCCCCCTCTAGCCCTCTAAAAATAACAACAAAACACTATTCAAAGCCCAGAAATAAACTCATGCTTATATGGTTAATTAATCTACAACAAAGAAGGCAAGGATATACAATGAAGAAAAGACAGTCTCCTCAATAAATGGAAAACTTGGCAGCTACATGCAAAAGAATTAAACTGGATCCCTTTCTTACACCATACACAAAAAGAAACTCAAAATGGATTAGAGACTTAAAAATATAAGATCTGAAACCATAAAACTCCTAAAAGAAAAGAGAGGCAGTATATTCCTGGACATCTGTCATAGCAATATTTTTTGGGATCTGTATCCTCAGGCAAGGACAACAAAAGCAAAAATAAACAATTGGGACTATATCAAACTAAAAAGTGAAGGAAACCATCAACAACAAAAAGGGCAACCTACTGAATAGAAGAAGATATCTGCAAATGACTGATCTGATATGGGGTTAATATCCAAAATATATAAAGAATTCATACAACTCAACACCAATCCCCTCACAGTGTGATTAAAAAATGGGCAGAGAACCTGAACAGATATTTTCCCAACAAAGATATATAAATGGCCAATAGGCACATAAGATGCTCAACATCACTTATGATGGAAAAGCAAATCAAAACCACAATGAGCTATCACCTCGCATCTGTCAGAATGGCTACTATCAAAAACACAAGACATACAAGTGCTAGTGAGGATGCAGAGAAAAGGGAATCCTTGTGCACTGCTGGTAATAATATAAATTGATGCAGCCACTAAGAAAAATAGTTTAGAGGTTCTTGAAAAATTAATTGAAATATCACATGATCTGATAAATTTGGATTAAAATAAAACAGCTATTAAAAGTTGTAACCACCTAGAGGGTAATCAAATAGTGAAAACCCGTTAGACTGAATAAATATAGAAGTTACACAATTTGATATTTTTGTATTAGGATGAAACTGAAATTCAATCTTAAATTTTTTTTTAAAGATTTTATTCATTTATTCATGACACACAGAGAGAGACAGAGACAGAGAGGCAGAGACACAGGCAGAGGGAGAAGCAGGCTCCATGCAGGGAGCCTGACGTGGGACTTGATCCCGGGTCTCCAGGATCACACCCCAGGCTGAAGGGGGTACTAAACCGCTGGGCTACCGGGGCTGCCCTTCAATCTTAAATTTTAATAAAGGCACTGATCTAGACAGATCACTTACTTTTGGCAGAAGAAATAACCTATCAAGTAGTTTTTTTTTTTTTTAAGATTTTTATTTTTACTTGAGAAAGAGCGAGCACATGCACAGGCAGGGACAGAGGTGGGGGGCAAAGGGAGAAGGAGAAGCAGGCTCCCCCCTGAGCAGGGAAGAACCTGACACGGGGCTCAATCCCAGGACACCAGGATCATGACCCAAGCCAAAGGTAGACACTTAACCAACTGAGCCACCCAGGTACCGTGTATCAGGCAGTTTTTTGTTTAACATTTGGGTTTCTATCTTTAATTTCTTCGACTTTTTATTCTAAAAGAAACAATATACAAATTCATCTTATATATAATACAGCAAAATTATACATTACTGGGAATGAGACTAGGGATAAGACAAAACCAAAAATCAAGGAATTTGTTTACTGAAAACCTTCTTTTCTGCAGAAAGAGCAATAGAAAAATGAAGCATGTTTAGAAATTTAGGAAAAAGTGGGAGGAGGAAACTTTGACAGTTCAGGTAGAAAATACACAATTTTTTTCTTTTTTTAGATTTTTAAGTAGGCTCCATGCCCAACTGGAGGCCTGAACTCATGATCCTGAGATTAAGAGTCGCTTGCTCCAGTGACTGCGCCAGCCACACACCCCAATAATACTTCATTTCCAAAAAGATTTTATATTCTAACTTTCCTTGAAATCTAAAAAATAGTAAAGAATTTCTTTATTTTAGAGAAGTGGGAAGAGGCAGGGGGAGAGGAAGATAGAGTCAGTCTAAGCAGACTCCACATAGAGCACAGAGCCCAAGTTGGGGCTCGACCCCATGACCTAAGCAGAAACCAAGAGTCAGTTAACTGACTGCCACCCAGGTACCCCCTGAAATCTAAAAAATATTAAAATGAAGGTCTTATTATAGGAGCAAACTACAGATTTTACTGGAGTACTCAATTTAAAAAATTATTTGATGCTATATACTCCCCTTATTTCTAGTTATATAGCAGAACTAATATTTTTAAAGATCAAAGGTTATAAATAATTTTCTCTGTTACTTTCCTATTTTTCATCTTAGTTCAAACAGCCCCATAAGCTAATACCAGTTAATTTAATTATTTTAAGGTTTAATTCTCTATGATTTAAGATTTAACCGGGCAGCCCAGGTGGCTCGGTGGTTTGGCGCCACCTTCAGCCTAGGGGTGATCCTGGAGACCCAGGATGGAGTCCCAAGTCAGGCTCCCTGCATGGAGCCTGCTTCTCCCTCTGCCTGTATCTCTGCCTCTCTCTGTGTCTCTCATGAATAAATAAATAAAATCTTAAAAAAAAAAAAGATTTAACCTATTTCTTTGACAGAGCACAAGCAGAGGGAGCTGCAGAGGGAGAGGGAGAAGCAAACTCCCCGCTGAGCAGGGAGCTGGATGCTGATCTCGATTCCAGGACCTTGGGATTATGACCTGAGCCGAAGGTAGATGCTTTACCAACAGAGCCACCCAAGTACCCCTGTATGCATTTTTAAAAAGACTTTTGTTATTTATTTATCTGAGAGACAGAGAAGAGAACACATGCACACACGACCAGGAGGAGAAGGCAGAGGGAGAGAGAGAAGTAGATTCCCGGCTGAGCTGGGGATCTTGACATAGGACCCAATCCCAGGACCAAGAAATCATGATTTGAGCGGAAGGCAGACGCTTAACCATCTGAGCCATAAATCTTCTTTTATCCTAATTATCACCAGCAAAGATCTTTGATTTGTATAGCAGTATATTTAGAATTCTTAAAACTTGACTTTGGAGCCATTTTTCTAAGAAATTAACTGTAACCTTTCATTTTCCCATCTTGTTCCTTTCACCTTATGCCACAGAGTAAAGACCAAAATGGTGAAACAAATCTCTGTTCCATGCCATCTGTATTTTGCTTCATAAAAGTGTTAAGATTTGGGAAAAGGTTGTTTAAAAATAACTAACAGAAATATTAACTTTAACCAACTAAGTCTAACTTGATTACTTGCAAGTGAAAAGAAAATCTACATCTCCCTTCCAAGACCCCATCCCCTCAAAGAGTTAAGAAGGTTCCTTTTTGCTCTAGTACTGTAATGCAGAAATACCTGAGGCTTTCAGAGGTTTTACTGTTCTGTTTTATTTAATAGTGATTCATTTTAAATCCTCTGGAAAATAGATATTCTTCAGGAATAATGTAAGGCACTGTTGTTATCCCTGCATATCTCTTCATTGGAAATCATATTCCTAAAACAAAAAAAAGATAGTAGTAGGAAATGTAGTTAAAAATCCATAGAAGGGGGCAGCCCCGGTGGTGCAGCGGTTTGGCGCTGCCTGAAACCCAGGGTGTGATCCTGGAGACTAAGGATCGAGTCCCACATCGGGCTCCCTGCACAGAGCCTGCTTCTTCTCCCTCTGCCTGTTTTTCTGCCTGTCTCTCTCTCTGAATGAATAAATAAATCTTTAAAAAAAATAAAAAAGCAAAAAAAAAAAAAAAGGAAAAAAAAAAGCCATAGAAGGGCGTCTGGGTGGCTCACTTGGTTAAGCATCTTTGGCTCAGGTAGGCTCCTGGCTCAGGGGGGAATCTGCTTCTCCCTCCTCTCTGCCTCCCCCTGCTGCTCATGCTGTCTCAAACGAATAAATAAAATATATATTTTGGGGGGCAGCCCCGGTGGCGCAGCGCTTTGGCGCCACCTGCAGCCTGGGCTGTGATCCTGGAGACCTGGGATCGAGTCCCACGCCAGGCTCCCTGCATGGAGCCCGCTTCTCCCTCTGCCTGTGTCTCTGCCTCTCTCTCTCTGTGTCTATGAATAAATAAATAAAATCTTTAAAAAATATATGTATTTTTAAAGGATAAGAGAAGGTTTAAGCACAGATTATGATTCAAAAAATTGTAATTTCAAAGTCAGAAGAGATCACCCAGACCAATTCCCAATTTTATAAGAAAACAAGACAGAGAGTATCTAACCCAAGAAAAATATATTAGTAATTAGGAGAGTAAGGAAGTGATGTTCTATAATACCATGCTTCTTTAGTCTGGATCTAAAATATTTGAAATGTGTAAGTTAAAATGTCTGAGAATTTCTGTGCTGCCCAGGAAATTAACCTGAAGCTCCTTTAAGATGATTGCAATGCAAAGAAAGAACACCTAGACCAGTTCTCAAAAATGAGGTCTTGGCACAGCAGGAGCATCACAAGAAACTTGGCTACCCAACCAGACCCACTGAATCAGAAATTCTGGAATATATTCTATAATGTGTGTTTTAACAAGCCCCCCCTCCCCGCCACAAAATTATGATGCACACTAAATCTTGATTACCTTTATGTTTGATGAATTAAGCAAAGAGACAAAAGAGCAATGCTAGAAAACTCAGTAACAACAAGATGGGAAGGAGAGGTAACGTGCAAAATGATAGCACAAAATGAAGAATCAAGAAAGGGATTTGAGACTTAGAAAGACAAGGTGTGTTCCATTTTTAAAACACATTGAAGGGAAGCCGTCATCACTATAGCACTGCCTTCTCCCTACCCAACTCTTGTCTTACCAGCAGAGTTCCAACAGAAATGTTAATTTAACTTTTAGTACCTACTTTTACGTCCAGCATAATGGTTGAAGCTAATTTTTTTTTGAAGCTAATTTTTTTAAAAATACTTTATTTATTTATTTGACAGAGAGAGAAAGAACACAAGCCGGGGAAGTGGCAGGCAGAGGGAAAGGGAGAAAGAAGCAGGCTCTGGCTGCCGGAGGAGCAGCAAGTTTGATATGGGACTCGATCCCAGGACTCTGGGATCATGACTTGAGCCAAAGGCAGACACTTAACTGAATAAGCCACCCAGGCGCCCAGTTGAAACTAATATTTCAAAATAATTAGAAACAACTAACATGCATGTGTTCTTGTTCTCTCTCAAATAAATCTTAAAAAAAAAAAAGTCACGTGTACAGATTAAGCTAGCCAATCACCTTAAAAGTTTTTTAAATTACAGAGTTTTAAAGCTTTGAAGATATTATTGAGGCACCTGGGAGGCTCAGTCTGTTAAGCACACTTTTTTTTTTTAATTTGTTTATTGGATAGACACTGAGCATGCTTGAGTTGGGGAAGGGGCAGAGGAAGAGAGAAGAGAGAGGAAGCAGACTCCCTGCTGGGCAGGAAGCCAGACATGGGGCTCCATCCCAGGGCCCCAGGATCATGACCTGAGGTGAAGGTAGACACTCAACTGACTGAGCCACCCAGGCACCCCAAGCACAAAACTCTTGATTTCAGTTCAGGGTCATGGGATGGAGCCCTGCACAGTCTCTATTAAATAAATAAATCTTGGGATCCCTGGGTGGCGCAGCAGTTTGGCGCCTGCCTTTGGGCCAGGGCGCCATCCTGGAGACCCGGGATCAAATCCCACATCGGGCTCCCGGTGCATAGAGCCTGCTTCTCCCTCTGCCTATGTCTCTGCGCCTCTCTCTCTCTCTCTGTGACTATCATAAATAAATTAAATTCAATAAATAAATAAATAAATAAATAAATAAATAAATAAATAAATAAATAAATCTGGGCAGCCCTGGTGGCTCAGCAGTTTAGCGCCGCCTACAGCCTAGGGCGTGATCCTGAAGACCCAGGATTGAGTCCCACGTCGTGCTCCCTGTGTGGAGCCTGTTTCTCCCTCTGCCTGTCTCTGTGTGTGTGTCTCTCATGAATAAATAAATAAATAAATAAATAAATAAATAAATAAATAAAATCTAAAATAAATAAATAAATAAATAAATAAATAAATAAATCTTAAAAAATTGGGAGATATCAACTCATAGTTAGATGAGTTTAAAAGAGAAATATGTAATTTCTGACAATATCAAATTATAAAATCTCAAATTATCTGATCTGATAGACTTAATTCTCTTGGCACTGTAAAATGTTACTGATGCTGCCTTCTACTATAAAGACCATTTTTTAAAAGATTTTATTTATTTATTCATGAGATACACAGATAGAGAGGCAGACACAGGCAGAGGGAGAAGCAGGTTCCCCACGGAGAGCCTGATGTGGGACTTGATCCCAGGACTCCAGGATCATGCCCTGAGCCGAAGGCAGATGCTCAACTACTGAGCCCTCATGTTCAATTTTTCATCTGTAACTATCAAAAGTTAACTTCCATATACCCTCACCTTTACTCCTTTTTTTTAAATAAAGATTTTATTTATTCATGAGGGACAGAGACAGAGAGGCAAAGACACAGGCAGAGGGAGAAGCAGGCTCCTCGTGGGGAGCCCGATGTGGGACTCGATCCCGGATCCCGAGATCACGTCCCAAGCCAAAGACAGATGCTCAACTGCTGAGCCACCCAGGGGTCCCCACTTTAATCCTTAATTATAAATTCTTTGAGTGAGAGACAAGATATATTCTTTACTCCATTTCCCAGAGACTGGAATATAAGAGGCACTCAAATGCCTGAATGAATGGATGAATGCCTAACACAGTACAAGCAGAATCAATCACCTGTCAATGGGAAGATAAACAAAAGCACATAAACTTCCTAGAGAAAGTCTATTTGGCTTAGTCACTGATAATGTCAGGAGATAGTCCACAGTGATACATATAAAATATATTAATTTAATTACTGAACTTGAATAGAAGAAGTTTGGGTGTTTTTTACAAGATTTTATTTATTTGAGAGAGAGGAAGAGCACACACGTGTGCACATGAAGGGAAACAGAGGGAGAGAAAGAAGTAGACTCCCCGCTGAGCAGGGAGTCAGGCACCAGGCTCTTTCCCAGGACCCTGAGATTGTGACCTGAGCTGACAATTAACCAACTGAGCCAACCAGGCATCCCTAGAACAGGGATTTTTGGGTGAGACTGGACGATACCAAAGAACAAGCAGTTTCTTTGAGCTCTTCAGCAGCAACTACTTAGAAATATTGTTATAATTGAATATTCTTTGTTCATTACTGAAGATCAAGAACTTTTCCCAGACTTTATTTTACCTCTATAAACTACCATTTACTCATTTCAAAACTTGAAAAAAAAATTTCAACCAGTCCAAGATCCTAGAAACATTCTACTACATTGTCAGTCTATAGAAAGACTGATTTACCTGGACAAATTCACCATTTTGAACTCTCTGGGTTAGTGTTGGAGAACTTGTGAAACAGAAACTGACTATGCTTTGGGATTGCACTTGCATCCTAGTTCATATTCATCTGTGTGATTATTTAATACCCCTCAACATTAAATGAAAAATAAGGATTTGGCCTCCAGCTCTCCACAATGCCTGGTCTATGGGAAGCGCCCACAAAGTGTCTGTTGAAGATACTTTAAAAAAAATATATATAAGCACAACTGTTCTAGAAGACTACTTAGGTAATAGGTAGAGGAGACAAAAATATCAAGTAGGCACATATGGTACCAAAAGCAAAACAGGCAAACAGCTATTCCTTGTTAATAACTCCTAGAGCTGAGAAGCAGTGGTAGCTAGGTTGTCAGGGCAGGTTAGACTCTATACGGGGTACCTATCAGGGTTTGAAATTCCCTCTCCTTTCAATTATTGAAGCAGTGGTCATGCTCTTCAATACTCTATCTCCAAAATGAGGGTGGCACATAGCCAGGTGGATGGTAAGAGTGTATGAGCTAGACAGCTGGTGGAGCACCTATGCCAAAAGATTCCACCACTCACTAAGCTTCCAAGAAAATACTGAAATGTCAGGAAAAGCTCCTTTCCTAGCATTCAGGTAACCAGAATCTTGTACAACCCTCTAGCTGATTCCACCTCAACTGGCAACTATGTAGCAAACTAGAAACTTAAAGAACTTATTTTGTCTAAGGTCACCACCACACTCTTGCATAAAAATAATCATGTACCAAAGTCCCATGCTACAGAAAATAGGGAAATGAATGGATATTAATATAATTATCTTGGTATATTTCTGTGTTAATTTCAGTTGCAGGACAATGGGAACTTCAAGAAGAGGTAAAAATGACATCTTATGTCCAATTCTATCCTGTAAAACTATGTTCCACCCTCTAAAAAACCTGCAGGTATTATTTTTAATAAGTAGCATATGGTTAAGTTTTGGTTTTCTGATGTTTTGAAATATATATAAACTGTTAACTTAGAACAATAAATCCTTGAAATTTAAAAGTAACTCTTCTCAGGATGCCTGGGTGGCTCAGTGGTTGAGCTCCAGCCTTTGACTCGGGGCATGATCCCGCGGCCCGGGATTGAGTCCCACATCAGGCTCCTCTGGAGAGCCTGCTTCTCCCC